TTTGTGTAATTTTATGATGATCTTTCCAATACCATAAATGCATTACCTTAAACACACTTAATTATTTCTTGTAGCTTACAACTAAATAAGTGAACTTAATAAATCCGCATCTATTTTACTTTGTTCAGTTCAAAAGCTTAGATATATGGATTTTCTTTAATGGATAAATCATCAATCTGCCTTTCGTCCATCCACATTCTTATAATATGGCTCCTAATATGCTGTTATTCGCTGATATATCCGCTTTAATAGTGAAAGTATAAGAACATTAATTAATTGGCTTGAAGCTATAAAAACTCGTCTCTTGAGAGATCTTATTTCTTTTAGCTTTCATAGTACTGCCAGAAGAAGCGTAATGCATAAATCATCGCTATTTATTTATAACAAGTTAGAGAAAATCTCCGAGATGTGGGAGGTTTTAGTTAAGAATTCTTATGAATTCGTTAAATTAGTCGAGGAGCAGGAGATAAAAAGTGGGGATTTGCTGGTAAGTTTTGATGTCGAATTTATGTACATTAACATCTCTGTAGGTGATGCTATATAGGCCCTACACTTTGAACTGGACCAACATGCGTAGATTTTGATGAGCACAAAGTTAAGTGAAGGGTCAATAATGTTACTGACCAACCTATAGATGTACTGTACATATTTTACCTTTAATAATAAACTGTATAAACAAACACGAGATCTAGCTATGGGATCGTGCTTGTCACCAATTTTAGCAAATGATTACATGGCTTAATTTGAAGAACATTTTATTCAGAAGGCACCTTTAGATCCTAAATTATAGGTTCGCTATATGGACGATAACTTTGTTATTTTGCAACATGGCAAAGAAAGCCTAGAGGCTTTTCTTGGTTTGATGAACAGGGTCGATGGAAAGATGGAATTTACCATCGAGTAAGAAAAGGAAGGTCATTTACCTTTCCTTGATATCCTAGCTAGTAAAGAAGATTCGTATAGTAAAGAAGTTGTTTGACCTTGTTTTCGCAACTTGGTCATAATGGTAGGAAGTCTTATAGAAACGCACCTTGTCCTTTGACGAGTTGTAATATAATGCTAAGAATGGTAAAACTCACTGACGATGCCGGCGAACCGTCTGGGAATGTACCACGTCCACGGTCCGACTTTGGAAATAATTATGCATAGAATGGACTCAGGACAAAGTTCGTTTTTATAAGTCTTCCTACCATTATGACCAAGTTGCTAAAAACAAAGTCAAACAACTTCTATACAACGAAAGGAGACTGCGAACACACAAAAGGCCACACCATCTTGGTCTATATATATTCGTATAGTAAACCCACAAATACAGCTTTATTTTTAAATTTCTTCTCCAACCACATTTTCGGGGTTGGTAGGAGTTATGAATTCTACGATAATAATGAGCCAGTATCTGGCAGATGTTAAATATCTGGACCAGAAACTAAGAATACTAATAAGAATTCTGGTTGAGAATAATTATCCAGGAGGGCTGGTTGACAATTATTTTTGAATATCGTCAACTAGGATGAAGGGAAATACATATTTGGGGTTCGATAAATAGATATATCACTCTACCGTATCCTTATGCTGCCATCGTGTAATCTGTCGAATAAGATAGGCAAATTACTGAGGAGGTTTGACATTAGTACCATTTATAAAGACAAAATAACACTGTCCTCGGTTTGCATTCTTTGCAAGAATACTCTGATCCGCTCTCCAGATCATGCCGTTACACGATTTTGTGTTAATGTGGAAGCGTCTTATGTAAGACGGACCCGTAGACCCATACATAAGGGGCTATCTGAACACAAAACAGCGTGCAAGGATATGCGGGTCCAAAAATCGGAATTGTTCGAACGCATGGCTCATACAGGACGCCAGATAGATTGGTCTAATGCTAAACGCTTAGCTAAATGTGGGAACTATATGAGTAAGCGAAAGATTAGGGAGGCGATAGAAATAAACAAAACAGCCAACACCATGAATAGAAGTAATGAATGTAGAAAGTTAAGCGGAAACTACTTGTGGCTGTTGTACAGCTTTAAAGAGAGAGAGAGAGAGGGGACGAGAAGTACCACCGAGCAAGAGGAGAAAGCTTGATTAAGCTGGACCTTGGTTTTGACTCATCACGCTTCATCTGTAGCCACTTCAAATTTCATCCACAGCCACTTAATTTTACTTATGAGCAAATATAGAGGCAAAGCATAGGACATCCAAACCAAACATGAGATGCATGAGTGGACCAAATTGGAATATAAGAAGGAATTAGGTTTGAAACAGGCCACCTTTCTTGCCTTCGTATTTTTGATGAATTATCATTAGCCATGGGGGCCATGCTCTGATGATGTCCGTCACAGGACGGACGAAAGCTCAGCTCATCGGGGTCGCATTGCGGTGCGCCAAGAAACTATACGTACAAATCCCCAACCACAGCTCCAAGGAAACTCCCCCGCAGCCTTCGATGAAACCAACTTACGAATCCCTTCCACTCGCCTCTTCAAACGAAACGAAAGGTTCTCCAACATGAATCCATTAAGGGATTCTTCGAAACCCAGTTTTTCTACTGTAAGCATCTAATTTTGATCATTTCTCCAAGTGACTTAATTGTTTTTCTATCACACAAAAGCATAGTTCTCACATTAAGCAGCCCAGTTCTAATATGATTATAAATGTCTTGATTTTCTTTACTGGTCCAAATAAAAAACACTTTAATTGATAAATACAATTTTTTAGACCTTTGAGCGCGTCCTTGTACAGAACCTTCTTCATGGACGCTGCCAGTCATTATGTGAAGCTATTCAGACCATCGGACGCTGGCAACTAATCCGTTATGCTTTTCCCCATGTAATGCACTGTGCTGCTGTAATGCTCGGGGAAAAATTACAGTCGATAGCAATGCTTCAGAGGGCGCGCAGTCTTGATTCTGAATCTGATGCTTGTGATGGTCCAAGGCCACCATTGAAATTTGATTCTTTCGAAACCAAATTGTTGTACACACTGCACTGGATCTTATTGGATGCGGCAGCTGAATGCAAGGATAGTGATGATGCAGCAGAAGCCATAAGAAGTGAGCTATTATTTAATTTGTGCCAATGCAGTTGTGCTCGTTTATAACTTGTGGTATTAGAGTCGAGATTAGTATTTATTATTTTTAAATGCCTAAAGATTATTTTATCAGGAGACTCAGCTTTACAGCCTTTATAACTATCCGCATCTGCATATGTTACTTATTTGTCCCATATTCACTAAGCCCGTTTATTTGCTAAGAACTAATTTATCTTATTCACACTTTATAAATTAACTTCTATATACGTAAAACCCCATACCATTTTGCTGTTTTTCACTCAGAGACAAAAATCATGTCAAAAAAACATGATGCATATAACACATAACAAATCTTGCTTTCTTAGAGATCTGATGCTCAAAGAACAACCTACTTTTGCGCAAATCGTCTAACTGTATGATTAAATTGTAGTAATTTATTTAATCTGATTATACTACTAACATGACATATGGCCAACTACCAATTCACTAATTCAATAGTGGCTTTTGGCGCACATTATATATTAACGAACCACTGATTTTCCCTCCCTATGAATACATCTTTTTAGTTGGTCAACATAGCTTTCAACTATTAAACATATACGTTGCTTTAAGATAAAAACGTGAAATTT